GTAGGGGCATTTGCCTCACTCATGGCCAACTCAAGTTATATCCCTGGCATACCATATGATCCCCTGAGCTCTTCAAGGAGTGATTCCTGAAAGGAGAGCAAGGAGTGCCCCTGAACATTGCCTGGTATGGCCCCCAAAACAAACCAAAAGATCAGTTAACAACATCCAATTGATCTACTTCTCGACTTGTCTTTTCTTCAATTGATTGCTAAGCCTGTATTTTTACGAACTCACACTGTCTTCATTATTGCTGATTTTTAATAAACTGTGAAATCAGGTTGTTGAAGCTTTATTTGTTCAAATTGCTTTGATTACACTATGTAATTTGCATTTTAGCTTCTCATTTGGCTTGTCCATGGGCACAAAACTGGGATTGCTTCTATTGATCAATTTGTAGAGTAGCACCATCCTAAAAATATCTAATCCATGAGATAGTGGCTATCTACTTAGTTTATAATGTTCCTCAGAGAATTATAATGTTTTATAATTCCCCGTGAAGACTTCTTACTTATAAATTTGATTCTTATATGTCTGGGAATTTGGTTGGACTATCAATGGAAATTTAAATGTTTTTTCTAATCTTTTTTACTTTTCAGCAAGTACAATTGATTCATTCTTGGCAGTGTGGTTTGGACAATATCTTGTGATTCTCAGGCGCTATTCCTGGTTATGGTGCTCTGGAGAACAGATGCAGTGTCAGGGATTCAACCAGGGTTGACTGCAAGGAACCCGCTACTCTGTCTCCAGCCCTAGCATGGATTTTTAAAATGACTTTGTGGGGGTTGGAGCGATAGCACAGTGGGTAGGGAGTTTGCCTTGCACGCGGCTGACCCGGGTTCGATTCCCAGCATCCCACATGGTCCCCTGAGCACTGCCAGGAGTAATTCCTGAGTGCAGAGTGCAGAGCCAGGAGTAACCCCTGTGCGACACCAGGTGTGACTCAAAAAGCAAAATAAAATGATTTTGTGTTCTGTGATTCTTCTGGATTTAGTTGATATTTCAAGGATTGGCTTTATAGATGCCATAGGATTTTCTATGTTAAAAATGTCATCTACCAAAAGTTTTGCTTTTCTCCTTTCTGCTGTGTACCAAAAATTTTGCTTTTCTCCTTTTGGCTGTGTGTAACTTTTACCTCGTTTCTTTCACTTTATAGCAGTGGTTAAGAGCCCAAGTCTGAGATTGAATAGAAATGGTAGGAGCAAACACCATGCACTGTTCCTAGTTTTAGAGGGAAGCACAGTTTTCCTTGTTATAAAGAAATACACAGTTGAGGGACCATATACTATACTTGATTTTTTTTTGTAGGGTACTTCACCAAGTTTGATGTTTTATCACCTGCCCTTTTAACTAGCTTCTTCTTTATCTCTACTGATTTTTTTCAGGATCACTATTTTATTATTTTTGTTTCTTTTAAATTTTTTAAATAAAGTTGTTCACAATGATTTATTATATTCAATATTCCAACAGGCTGGAGCGATAGCACAGTGGTAGGGTGTTTACCTTGCATGCAGCCAACATGGCCGACCCGAGTTCGATTTCTCCGCCCCTCTCGGAGTGCCCGGCAAGCTACCGAGTGTATCTCGCCAGCATGGCAAAGCCTGGCAAGCTCCCCGTGACATATTCGATATGCCAAACACAGTAACAAGTGTCACAATGGAGACGTTACTGGGCCTGCTCAAGCAAATCGATGAACAATGGGAGGACAGTGACAGTGACAGAATATTCCAACACCAATCCCACCACCATTACACCTTCCCACCTTCATTATTTCCAATTTTCCCAGCTACCACCCAAGCCTGCCCCAATAGCGGCCCTAAATTATTCATTTTGTATTGCTTGTTAGGATTAATTTGCTAAAAATGATCAAAAAATATTTCCTTAGAAGAAAGTGTGTGAAGATTGTTATATGTCACACTGGAGCTATTGAGCCCTTGTATAAGAGATTACTGACATGTTGTTACAGATTAAGTCTTGTGTGTTAATATTTTCTTAATCAAGACTGGTTGCCTTCTGTTTTACATCCCATCCAATGAGGTGTGCTATGCCTGGTATATTAGTGGTGTAGAGTTTGAGAAGTCACGCCAGGAATTCTAAAATTTTGATTGGGTGATGTAGCTGGAGTTAAATTTTTATTTTTTTAACTTGAATATTTACAAAGGGAGGAAAGCTCTTTTTTAAAAAAAAAATTTAACCATCGTGAGATATAGTTATAAAGCTTTCATGTTTGAGATTCAGCCACACAATGATCCAACACCCATCCCTCCACCAGTGCAAACTTTCCACCACAAATGTCCCCATTATCCTCCCTGCCCCTCCATCACCATCCCAGTCCTCACCCTGCCTCTATGGCAGACAATTTCTTCAATACTCTCTCTCTCTCATTTTGGGCATTATATTTTGTTCGGACTTTCCCACCACCATTCAAGCCTGCCTTCCAGGGGCAGATGCTAGATCATTTATTTTCCATTGCATTATTTTCCATTTTGCATATCATGAGAGGTTGTGCGGCCGCAAAAGTGGCCTAGTGTTTCTGAAATTCTAAGATTGTAAATGGTTGGGTTCCAGAAACCTCTCTATAGGGAGCTAATCCATTTTAGGATTCAATTGGGAGTTTCTGGATCTGGGCGGTTGATGCACCAAGATGGTGCCCGGAGGCAGGTTGTGGGCGTGACATCTGACATCTGGCATCAGGAGCAGATGGAGACGCGGGAGAGGGTGGCAGGGCAGGGAGGGACTGCCCAGATCTGCTGCTGCCATGTGGCTTGGAGACTTGGTTCTGGAACCCACATACCCTTGCTTGTGTAATATCATGGTCGCCAGGATTCCATCTGAAGTGGGTGGGAAGATTGCACCTGCTCCATTTGGGGTGCCCCAGTGAAATAGGCTTGATATGGGACCCAGAGAAATCTCTAGTGCTGTGGTGCCCTCCTAGACTTGCTGCTGCTGTGTCTGGAGTTAAATTTTTAACTGGATGATGACTCTGGGGTCCGGAAGCACCTCTGCAGCTTGTTGATCTCTTTTGAGATTTATTTATGAGTCTCTGGATCATGGCCGATTAATGAGCTTATATGGTGCCAGAGGCAGTTCACGGTTGCGACTGCCAGACTTCTGGAAGAACAGGGGCATGTGGGAGGTCACTCATCCGCGAGAGCCTGGAAATTTCAGCCACAACACCTGCATATCTGAGTTTTTCAACGGATTCATTCCTGGATGAGGCTCATCTGAGCCTGTGGAGTCTGGCTGTGAGCATGGCAGTTATTGGGTTCTGGAGGTTTCGGCTGCTGGAGCTCTGTTTAGGCACCCCCTTTGGGGTCCCTGGATATGAGACTCAGCCTGGCATGAGGTCTGGAGGCATCTCTGCCTAGAATCAGTGTTTTAAGATATAATTAACATATAATGAATTGCTACCAAGTCTAATCAAATATGAGGTTTTAATAGATGTCCATAATCCTTTGAGAAAATAAATGTCTTCTATTCATTATGGGTTGAGAGTACTGATTTCTTTTCTCTTGGGGTCAAATTATTTTCCCACATCTATTGAAATGACCAATCTTTTTCTTTTTCTCCTTTATTCTGTCACTATGGTGATTTACATTGATGAGGGCTCAAATATGAACTAAACTTGCCTTCTTGTTGTATGTTTCATTTGATCATGTCTTAGTACACATTTTTGATGTGATTTGCAGTTATTTCCTTAAGACTTTTGCATCTTGGTGTTGGATATTTGTAATTAATTTTGTTTTAATGGTTTTGTTAGTTTCTCATATCAGGGTAACTAATGCTGACTTCATAAGATTAGTGGTGAATCTTATGATCTTTTTCCTTGGACTAGTTCATAGAGTTTAACAATAAAGCCATTTTGTCCCAAACTTTTTTTAGTGGAAACTTTTTCAGGGGTGATAAATTCAATTATTGTTGTTTACTATCATCTCCTCTCTATCTTTTATGCTTGTACTGTCTTTTTCATTAACATATAGTGGAAATAATGACACTGTTAGATTTTTGTTACCATTTTATTTTACGTTTGTCTGTTATGTTTCTTACTCCTTTTTTCCATTTCCTTGCCTTTTCAAATATCTTTTTCACTCACTTATATATTATCTATTCCTCCCTGCATTAGTCAGGGTTTTAGTAACTATGCTAGGAACTAATGTGTGTGTGTGTGTAATTTGCTACTAACTTTGTATGCTTTATTAGAAAATAACATATATATATTTTCCTAATAGGTTTAATATGTATATATATAAATATACACACATATATTTATCACTGAGTACAGCCCCAGAACCAAAATTTTGGTTTTGGGCTGCACTCAGTGGTTCTCAGGTGTTTCTTGGAGGACCATGTACATACTTGGAGGGATGCCAAGGATCAAGTCTGGGTTGGCTCCAGGCCAGGCAAACGCCCTACATGCTGTATTATCACTTCAGCCCTGAAAGTATATTGTATTTCTCTCCCTAAAACATAAAAAACACCATAGCTCATCTAATATAAGTCCATTTGTTCCCTATTCCTATCGTCCTTTAGATTCTGGTTTTCAGATATCAGAGGCCAGAACATCAGCTGGTAGGGTGCTTGCCTTGCATGCCACTGACTCAGGTTCAATCCTCAGAACCCCCATATAGCTCCCTTCAGCCTTGCCAGGAGTGATCCTTGAGCACAGAGCCAGAAGTAAGCCTTAAGTACAGCCAGATATGGCCCCCAGACCAAAACAAAATAGATGTATTACATCCAGATACCTGCTCTAAGGTATATTTAAAACCCATTTCCCAATTTTATTTGTTGATTCCAGAATATGACAGCAAACTTGTTTCTATAGCTTCCACCTTAGAGTACCAGGTCTAAGGATCTGAGTGAGTGTTTGTGTATTGTTGTTCCCAAATATATCTCGCAGGGAAACTCTCTCCTGAAAGCTGGGTGAGAGTCACCAGAATCTCCTTTTGTTCCCGAGTGAAAACTCAGTTTTGTTTGCTCATACCTCCAACACATCTTTTCATTAGGTATTTCTGGTCACGGTCTGGAACTTTGAACTCTACATGATCCCTCTGGTGTTGCTTCTCTTCTTCGCCTATAATTTCATCACGCCCTTGAGAGGGAAGGGCGGAAGTATCCATGACAGCCAGGTAAGCCAAGACCCCATGGGTTCTGCCAATTGGCTTAGAGCAAATGGGGTTGGCACCGTCCTTGGCCAGTTCCTGCCCTGCCCACCATGCCCCAGTCCCTTTCATTTCAAACTCGAGCAGCCAGCCAGCCTCCCTGGGAGGATGGACATCTTCTCTCTGGTGACTTAGGCCCAAGGGCATTGCTGAGTCTGTCTGTCTGTCTGTCTCTCTCTGTTTCTCTCTGTCTCTGTCTCTCTCTCCCTGCCCCTCCTCTTGCTCTTCCACCCCCACCCCACCTCTGCATGAAGTTCTTGTCTGATTCTGTCTGTTCTTGTCTGGTTCTTATCCCAACATCTATGCCTGAAACACTTGTCTGCATGTCCCCCGAGTGACAGAATGACAGGCAAATTGAATTTGACAAATTTGTTTTTGTTGTAGCAAAATGACAGGCTCCACCACTAGAGTAAAAACCACCTATGGCTTACTGAGCCCCAGTAGTAAGATTGGGGAAGTCTGGCTGGTGGGTTGTATAAGGCCCCCCAAATCGTGGGGTCTGGTCCTGGCATTGCTTATAGCCTGCCGATAGTTGTTCTAAATATCCAGGTGGTAGAGAAGGTACCAGTATGACAGTAGTTGGAAATGATCACTCTGGATAAGAACTGAGTATTGAAAGTAGGTAAAGGGATATATCTTTATTGTGAACCATAATGCCCAAAAGGAGAGATACAAAGAAAAGAGAGAGGTGGGGGGAGAGGGAAGAAGAAATGGAGGGGGGTGAGGGAGGAGCGAGGGAAAGAAGGGAGAGGGTGATAGAAGCAGGGATGGGGGGGAAGTGCCTGCCATAGAGGCAGGTGGAGGGGGGAAACTAGAATGATTATAAGTTGTAGGTGGGTGCTTGTCTTGCATGCAGCCTACTGGGTTTGATCCCAGACATCCCATATGTTCCCCCAGGCAAGCCCGCCAGTAGTGATCCCAGGGCACAGCCAGTTGAGGTTCCAAAACAATAGAATGATTTGAACATTTTTCTGAAATAGTTTGATTTCTAATTCCATCTGTATGAGCTTGTTTGTAGCCCAGCTAGGTGCTCTGACCCCTGAATTCACGCTGATGCCCTTTATTTCATTTTAAATTTTTATTTAATTTTCTTTGGTTTGGGGGGCATACCCGGTAGTGCTCAGGGGAACCACTACCAGCCTCTACACTCAGGAATTACTCCTGGCTGTGTTTGGGGGGATCCTATGGGATGCCGGGTATCAAACCTGTGTCAATCGCATTCAAAGTAAGTGTTCTACCCTTTGTTCTATCTCTCCAGCCCCCTTAGATGCTCTTTATTCTAGAGCCTCAAGTTTACTGTCCTTTATCTGTCCCTTCCCACTCCCTAACTCCACGGAAAAGAGTAATCCCATCTAGAAGCCCACGATGTATTCTTTAGCTTGATTATATGCAGACGAATGCATTTTCTACTGTCTAATATTTCTGTCCAAAACTTCAAAGGAAATGAACAGTCATTCAAACAGCGAGCTTTGCCTAACAGAATTGGGTAGTCTCTTCACTGTCAGATGAGAACAAAACTGTGTATGACCCAGACAGTGTGCCACATTTAAAAATCCTTCAAAGGGCACGTTGCCTAATAGCTTTATTTAGAGTTATGTTTTATGGTCCAAGCTTGTGAATTCTACTTGAATTTCCTTCTTTCTGGGGATGTTTAACAAGCATCTGGTGGATTTTCCTTTCAGGACAACACGGATGTGGATGAGGAGGACGAGGAGGAGGACAAGGTGAGTGTGTCCCTGTGAGAATATCCTTCCCAGCACCTCCTTTACTTCTAGGCAGCCATTATTTTTATAAAACCCCTGGAAGGACTGGGAGATAGTCCAGCCTTTAGGGTGCAGGCAGCTGACCTAAGTTCAATTCCCAGCATCGCAGGGCCCCTGAGGCAGGGGATACATGCTGGCTGCCAGCATTATATCTTCTGGCCCTTGTGTGTCAACCCAGTACATTGAGAATCACCAAGGAGGAGGTGATTCTATTATAATTGGGAGGCTCCAAAACTTAAATAAATGAATAAAAGCACCGTTCAGGAGTTACTAGAGTAACATGCTCACGTCTTTATTTAAAAGGATGATGCTTTGAAAGATGGTTTGCAATGCTGGTGGAAAGCACTGAATGATCAGGACTTGGGGAAATAGAAAAAGGCATTGATGCAGGGAACCTACAGAGGGAGGGAAGGGGGCATTCTTCCTTCTGCTGGGGTTGGGGGAGAAAAGGGTACCCTCAGAAGTCAAAGGGAAGGTGGTGGGGGGGTCTACATTTGCTTCTGTCTGTGCTCCATGCAGTGGTCACCCACTTCAAAAGCCTGTCACTTGCCCCAGCTGTTGCTGGCCAAGCTCATGGCTCATGCCTGAGTACGAGTGCCCTTTCCCTTCCAGGGTCAATCTCTCAAATCTGCAGCTTGCTTTGCTTTGTCATTGCACTTTCAGATAATCCTGGCATAAAATGAAAAAAAATAAATTCAGTGCCATGGGAGCTGCTTTTAGCTGGGAGAACTTTTGTTCCCCCCACTGCCCCATCCTGATCCCCTGTGTAGAAGAAGCTTGGATAGTACTCAGTGGAGGCATTGTAGTAGATGCGGAGGCAGAGGGTGAGAAGTGAGGTTTTAGGGTTGAGGAGACACTGCCCAGGACCAAGAGGTGAATTTGGAGGCACTGACTTCATCGACAGTAACAGAGCAGAGTTTCACCCATTTGGAGCAACTGAGAAAAGATGACAGTAAATCCTATCTCCACCCCAACCCCATTTATTTTGGTTGTTGTTGTGGTCAGACAACACAGATATCTGAGTTAAAAAGTAGAATCTGTCAGGCAAGAGAGACATTTCCTATTTGTATTAGATTCTTTGTGATCACAAAATAAATGAGTGATCGGGTGGCAGTGGCGGTGGCATGGTCTCTCTCTCGCCCGCCACCTGTGTTCAGTGGCCATGAGTTGCTTCCCCACTCTGGCCTGCTGCGGCTACCAACAGACGCATGAAGGAGGGAACAGGGCCTCCAGGCTGGTTGGTGATCAGTTGCCATTTATTCCATTCTCCCCACGCACCTGTTCCAGTCTCGCTAAGCACCCCATTCCAGTCTCACATTGCCCTCATTCCTATCTCCTCCTGTGCCTTATACTCATCTCTCCACACTCCATCTTGCTGTCTTGGTTTGGCACCCAACATCCTCCAAGCATTGGGGTAGCAACTACACCCGGGTGAGGTAGCACAGTCAACATATAGAAAGCCCTTCCTTCTGAGGGAAGCTCTTGTAAGATAAGACAAAGATCTCCTGTAGTTAGGAGATCTAAGTAAGGTCTAAATACCATCTAGGGGTGTTTTTCTCCTTTCCTTAGTCCAACAACCATTTAAACACTCATCCATCATATTTCTACTTCTTAATAATATTAATCATTTTGTATGGACACAGTAAGAGATATGTTAAGCTTATATGGTGGCCCTCCTAGGGACATCTCGCTGGAGATCTCAGACTATAGTTCTCAGGCCAGATTAGTCTTTCCTAATCCTACCAGTATCCTAACCCAGTTGGTATTCTTTGGATCATGACAAAATTTGCCATGACCATGCTCTTAACTTATAGTTAACTATTATGGTGCTTGGCCTGGCCCATTTCAATGCCAGGGTAGCTCACAGCTTGCCCTTGGTCAATCCAGTCTCTTGTCATGACTCTGCTTTTGGAGTGCTAGAAACTAAGAGAAACTGAGGCTTAAGTCGAGAAAACAAATGCCCAGGAGTGAATATAATTCGGAGTCAATTAACTCCCAAGTTACAAAAGCGTAACATTAACTGTCTTCCTGTGTCTATACAAAAAGGACATTGTTCTGCAGTAAACTATGCAAAGAACAGAAGGGAAGGAGAAAAGCAATATTTCACTTACAAATACAAAATCAGAGATTTCTGTGGAATTTGACTTTACAAGTCATAGGTACTGCTTATGGGAAATAGGTGATTAACTGGTTGAGAAAGCGGAGCACAGAGAAGAGGTTAAAGATAAACAGAGAAATGGGAATGCCTCGAGAGCACTGTGATGGTTGCAACCTAGTAAACCTAAGCTCCCTGCTGCCAGGGAGAAATGACAAGCCAATGTTACCCTACAAGATTCCATATTTGGAATTCTTCTGCAAGACCCTTCTTTGCACAAATGAATTACAATGAAAACTGCATTACTTTTTCTACACTGTAAAGGTCAGCGATTGAAGCATGAGCCAAGTTAAGGCACTTGAGTCCGATGCCAGTTCAATCCCTGGCACCACATGGGGTCTCCTGAGCACCACCAGGAGTAATCCAGGAGCACAGAGCCAGGAGGAAGACTTGAGCACCGCTGGGTGTGACCCAACCCCTAGCACATCCTCATCCCCCACCCCCCAATAAGTGGAATATGTTTCTAAGGGGAATTTTAGAAATATATTGTAGGTTTTATATTGTAGGTTATACAGAAACTTCTTTCTTCTTAATAAGTTGATGGGTGTGGATTCTGGACTATTAAAAATAGAAAGCCCTGCCCAAGAGGTAGGATGGGATGTTTTGTTAAATAAAACACATCTCTCGGAAGTTGTCACACTTGCATCAGGCAGAAGGCTAAGTCCCTTCTTGGGAGTACAGGAATTTCTTACAGGGCTGGCCAAGCCATGTGAAGTGAGGGCATGGACCACCTTTCATGGATAATTGTGACTCCCCATGTTTTTGACACCTGTGATTGAAGACATGCGTATGCCAAGAAGCCAGTGAATATCAGGGTCATGTTCAGTTACTGGCAGGCGACCAAACCAGGTCATAGGGTCAGGGGCCACAGTTGTCCTGGTCGAGCCTTTCTGCCCACTCTGTGGGAGACCTCAAGTACTGGTTCGATGATACCATCAGCCTTTCTGGGCAGGAGGACATGGTGGCACCACTAGAATCATTGTGTTCCTCTGCCCTCACCTCACAGGGTCTGGCACTCAACTCCCTATGGCATGCCCAGGACCACTCTGTCCTTGGGTGGCATTTTCGCAAGGCCATTCACCTCAGCAGAGCTCCGCTTTGTTTCCAATCCTGCCTTCTCCACTTTTGTGAGTTCTTCTGAGAGAGGAGAAAACTTGCCTTCCCTTCATGCAGCTTCTGGTCAGAGCCAGCCTTCCGTGAAGGGCAGCTCAGCCACCTTCTCAGTTGCTTTACTCCTGCCTCTCAGAGAGACAGTTGGCAACCCCAGAGAATCTTCACTGGAACACCCCAAAGCAGAGACCTCCCACTCCAACACCAGCTTACTACAGTCTCTTATTTTTTATCTACCACTGGTTTGGGCAGAAAGGAGCTCATCTCCTCGTTGGGAGGAAATGGGTTGTGTGCTTCTCCTGTGTGAACAGCCCTGAATGTGTTACAGTTCCCAAACTTGAGGCCTATCATGTCAAACAGGCAATAGAGGCCAGAGGGTGCTGTGGCTGCTTCCATGGAGACCCCATGCTGTGGAACATGGTGCAGGGTGGGGTGGGGTGGGGTGGGAAAGGGAGGGTATACCAGGGATATTGGTGATGGGGAGTGTGCATTGGTGGAGAGATGAATGTTTGATCATTGTGTGATTGTAACCCAAACATGAAAGCTTATAACTATCTCATGGTGATTCAATAAAATATAAAAAAAGGACACCTCTTCATAGGCTAGCACCCCTTCCCACCAAATACCATCCAGGGGGACCTGGCGGGGGAGCATCAAAGCATGCAGTGTGCGTGAGTGTGTATGTGGGTGGGGTGGGTGGGGTTAGTTCCCATGTCTCACCCTTCTCAGTTGCAGAGACCACAACTCTACCTGGGGTCGGCCCTTCTTGGATTGTCTGGAAAAAGGATTGTTGTCCAGTGGCAACATTTCCAACCCTCTCAGTTCATCCTCTCCATCTTGTGGCTCAAAGTTCATGGCTGAGCTGGATGAAAAATCAAATTAGGCGCCACAGCAGCACTGGCTGGCTTTCATAGACTTTCCGTCTGCACCCAAGCACTCAGGCCACTCAATTCAGGAAAACCAGAGGCACAAACTCAACTTGCAAGAGAAGGAAAGCTGCTTTTCTTCCACCCTGTTAGAAAACTGCTTGTTATGAGGAGCATTGGTGGGGGACCCCAGAACCAACAAGATAATGGCCCAGTCCAGCCAACAACCATCAGATGACATTTCCTATTTGTATTAGATTCAGTATGTGGAATTCTTGTGTGTGGACCTTATTTGTACGGATGGATTACAATGAAAATTGCATTAATTTTCTACACAGTAAAGGTCAGTAATTGAAGCATGAACCAAGAAACTATTGTGTAAAATGCTGTATCCCATATTTAGGAAAGGTCATGCAAAGCAATAATATCTTGTTTTCATTGTGGAAGGTATAAATACTTGCATTAGAGTGCCTTTCTTTTTTCCAGTCCAACAATCACTTAAACAGAAAAAAAATCTTCTAATTTACTATCAGCACCAGGAAGAAGGAATCATAAGGGCATATAATTAAAAAAAAAAAACCTTTCTATTACTATCATAAATTGTACCACAATGTTTGGAGGGGGCCTTGGTGTGTTTTAAACTCTGTTGTCAATACCAGGATTTGAAGGATCTATTCTTCTGGGATGATCCATGGTCACAATTACCTTAGAATGCTTAGGGGGCAAAAATACACCCTTTTCTGTTAGAGTTTAAATGCAGATATAGATGTTTTCCTATAAGAAAATAAGAAACATCCGAGACATTTTTGCTAATTGGTGTTAGAATATTT